TAATTCCAAAAAAGTTTTCGAGTGAGATCGAAGCTTCCGTTGAACATCTCGTTGATAACGCCGCTAACATTGGCGACTGGTTCGTTGTTACGCATGATTGATCCTCGCATAATGGTCCTTGAGTTGTAGGGTGTGGTACTTGGTGTATTTTCTTAGCGCGGCTCTTTTGGAAGACTTTAACATACGAAGTTAACTTGTTTGCCAAGGATGATGATTACCTTGTTTAGGACCTTTTTTCGGAACGTAAGCCAAAATATGCGAGAGCGTTTGGGCAGCTGCATTGACATCGGCAGGGACGAGTGTCATGTGCCAGTCCAAATTCGAAAGAAGTTTCCCGATACTGTCGTGGTCAGCATTTCGGAAATCGTAGGAGACCTCTAGGGGGTGGGTTGGAATGACCTCAGGAATTTGGTTGCCTTCAAGTGCAATAACTAAAGAAGCATGGTGTGGAACAGTCTTTATCAACGGAGAAACAGCCATAGACAAATGTGGAGCAGTATCCTGAGCGGTGACGAAGCGAAGGACTAAACTACGATTGTTCTCATTAACCACGTGTGGTTGATTTGCTTCAGAGTGGCAAATACTGTAATGATACAAAAGTCTTACAGCTCCAGAGTGAAATGTAGAACGGTCGTGGTCCGGATACAGGAATCCACCGTAAGATGATCGCCAAGAAATTGCCGGTAGATTGAAGTGTAATCCGTAATTAGCTGCTCGAGGTCCGAGGAAACTTCTCGATTGTAGAACTCGTTCAGGTGCATAGATTTCGAATTCAGCCAAAATCCCGGGAGAGTCGATTTCGCTTGTCAGTACTTTTGCTGCAAAACTGTCTGGTTTAATCTTTCGCCTACGTTCAAGAGCTTCAATAACCAGGAGTTGGCAACGATCTTCGTAGGGTGGAAGGTTCGTTGGATCATTTCAAAGAAGGTGGCGAAGAGCGTAACGAACGAATTTCCTCTGAACAGACTCGATCCTCGCTATCCAAACGGTTTCATACAACAGGCTTGATGGAGCCTCACTCGCGAGTTTGAAATGAGCCGAGCGTAGCATTTTTCTGAGGAGTAGAATGCCTACTGCCAAATCATTCCACTGAGCTTCAGAGCTTGTGAGCGAAGGGGGATAAAATGAGAGTGAGGTTTGCTGCCATTCATATTCATGTTTTCTATCACACGCTCTTACTCTCACTCTGGGTGAACTCTGAGCTTCTTGCGTCGAACAAAAAAGTCATCTGGAGTTTCGAAAAGCGCACCTTACGTCAAATCATCCTCTCGCTGAAGTTCACTCTCCCTCTCTCTCGATGAGTTTCTGTTTACTTCTGCTATATTCCTGCCGCCACTCACTCGAGGTGAGGGCTGGCTAAACCCGCAGGACAAGAGTTTTTTAAAACCTCCAGTGAGTTTGAGGAGTTTCAACAAGCCTGTCATACGGACACCATACTACTACACCAAATTTCAAGATCGATCGCACTAGAGAACAGTCAGGCAGGTAGGATCCCGAAACTCATCAGAGATCTTAAAGATGAATCCGAGTTGCCTGTTAGCTTTGGTTATGATATCCGTGTAATGTAGCTTAAATTTAAAACCAGAATCTAGTTAATTCCTAGATCACGAACGTTGTCCACACACTGCAGAGGTTGGTTATCTTATCGATCAGGTGCTGCAACCGCAAGCAATCAGTGAAGCATAGCACAACCACGTTCATCTTGACATCGTCTGCATAGAAGAACCGGCAGCCAGTTGGAAGTATCAAAGCGAATATCGGTCCCAAATTGCTGCCTTGAGGAACGCCTGAGTTGCCCAACGAGTGCGTCCTTGAAAGGCACCGAACTTCTCGAGTTTGGCAAGTAGAGTGGCATGGTCAAAAGCAGCCAGTGCTCCTGCCTCCATATTCCGTAGGCATAGGGAAATGAAAGGCGCGAGGTTTGTTGAGACCGAACGTTTGGGGTGGAAACCATGTTGGTCAAGAGAAATGTAGTTTCTACAACTGAAAAATAAAGCGTCGTTGATGATTATCTCGAATGCCGAAGTGAAGTAATTCCTCGGTAATTCTCTACATTTCGCAGTTCTCCTTTCTTGAAAATCGGGAACATGAACGAAGATTTCCAACGAGAAGGAAATACACCTTCGTTGTAATGAAATATCGAACAGCTTTAAAAGTGGAGAGGAAAGCTCTTTTGAGTATCGACGATGGAATGCCGTCAGGCCCAACAGTGTTCTAGAATTTCAGCTTCTGGGTGGCAGAGTCGACGAGGTCCAACGTGACCGTGAAAATATCAAAGCTGAACGCGCCACTGGGAGTATCTCTGATCTCTTCTTTTTTATCGCTTAGATGAATCTCAACCGGTAGCCCATCCTCTTTCCTTTTTGTCTTCACAAACGTCCAGAATAGCTTGGGATTGAGCCGGAGATTGGTCTGCATACGTCTCGAATATTTCTTGCATAGAAAACGGTTGTACATTCAATTGATGAAAGCTTCCAACGCTGGATGATCGGAATCTAGATGTATCAGAGGCTCGAATGCGGCGGCTTCGTTTGCCAGCACAAGATCAAGCAGCCGAAAGTTTCTGTTTTGTACAGAATTGGTTTGCCTTAAATCATACAGACTGAAACCATCCAAAAGAGTACAGCAGGAAGCAGGAAGTCATGTACGACCGAAGAATGTCAATGCTCGATTACTTTTTCGAAGGGACGTATCATCTTTAGTAAAGAATGCATTTTATCGTCGATTTGGCATAACTGGTAGCTCGTCCACGCATGTTAACACTACCATCAGATAGGGGACATTTCCCTCTACCTGATTGTAGTATTCCTATGCGTGGGTGAGCCAAACCGACGGTACGTCCCTTCGAAAAAGTAAGCGAGAACGGTTGAATGATCATTCGCGGAAATATTCCAAACAAGCCCAGACTGGTTGTAGTCGCCAAATAGCAGAGCTAGATCGTTGTGACGTGATCGGGACAATACAGCACCAATGGAACTGGTATAGTTCTCAACGCAGCTCAAATTAGATTTACGGTCAGGAGGAAGGTCATAACGCCGATACTTATAATGTTGTGTGATGTCGTATTCTTCACCCATAACACCCACAAGAGAAGTGCTGACCGGAGTAGGATCGCGGCAACAGTTCAGTCGTTTGGAAATCGCAATCAAGACGCCACCACTACGTAATTTGGCACTGTTCATCCGGTTACTGCCATTACGAAAAACTGAGAACTGCTGATTGAATTCGATTATCTAGCCAGGTCTCGGTAAGAACTATTGCATCGTAGTTGGACTCAACAGCAGTCAAGAAAAAGTCGTCAATCTTAGTTCGCAGGCCACTAACATTTCGATAATACACCACAAGTCCACCGGATAACATAGGTTGGCAATCGGAAAGGCGAGGTTCAGTCGGTGGTAAAGATGACGTTGCGCTGAAACGTAGAGGCGAGGAATTGGTTTCAATAAACGCATACTTGCCTGAAATAGAAAGTTGAAAGACCACTTCACCGTTCTCAACCACAGGGCCAAAACGACTACACTGGCAGGAGTCAGTAAACACAACTGCGTTGAGAGGTTTAGGGGCTCCTATGAGGTGGGAGGCATTGCGTTCTGGGCTGATATTTTCAGAAACGTGGCAGCTGTTCTCGCGTTGTTGGCTGTAGTGCGTCAGAAGCACCTCGGAGTTGACGATCAACTTGAAGGTGGAGAAGGTCAAGTCAAATTTAGCTAACCAGACGAACGTCTTGTCGGTTTTCAGGAGCTCATCCAGCGGTAATCGGATGAACGTCGAAGTTAGGCCCATATTACATCACCTAATTCTAAAACGCAAAACTAGAAGAAGAAAAAACATGATTTAAAACTTGTTACATTTGTCTCCGCCTATTAGAGATGAACTAGCCTGAGTTTAAAAATCTCTTTAATAAAGCCTTAAAAAAATTTGTCTCCGCCGTCGGCTTCGAACGTGGTTGGATCTTGCGAAAGGAATGCCCGATAACGACAGCTGTTCGATTTTACTCTTCGGATCTCTTCAGAGAGACGTCAAAAGCTAGGTTAGCTTTCCGTAACTCAAAGAATTTATTTTCCTTAGAGACAATATAAATCCAACAAATGTATGAACAACAGTAAAGACACTAATTTAAACAATATTGCAGCGCACATTTTAGATTTGGCTTCAATTGCTTTTTCTCTCACTGTCACTACTGATGACACGCGTAGATCTGGTAGCTATGTCGGCCGAGGGGCTACTGCATCGATGGCTACGTCCGCAACATCCCTCGACCCGTAACGCTGAACTTCCGGTTCCGCTTTACCTGCTGTCTCCAAAGCCAACACAGAAACCGGCCGACGTAACAATTCATTCGAGGTCTGTACAACAGCTTGACGCGTTCTTCCATCGCGGACGGACACAATCCGGGCACGGATCCACTCATTGTGAGTCCCTTTGTCCACTATTACCACGAGATCCCCTATTTTTAGTGGTTCCAATTCGTTGTGCCATGTCATACGGTAAGCGATGCTAGGCAAGTCCAGAACTGGCCGACCAGCTGTCTCGCCAAATCCAAGTTAGTCCTAGTTATTTGGTCGACTTCGGCTAACGTCTTCAGAGATCGAACAACTCCACTGGTGAATGAAGTGGTTAGGGGTCAGTGGCTCTTGATCGTCAAAGGTCGTGAATTAACGATAGATTCTGCTTTGACAAGGATCGTCAACAACGTCTCTTCATCTGCGTTCCGTAAACTAGACAAGCTGCCGAGCGCCGTTTTGACACTTCTTACTACTTGCTCCCAAACTCCTCTAAAATGTGGAGCTGAAGGCGGCTTGAAAACCCACTTGGTGTTGGTAAACTCTTCGGCCAGGAAAAAAAAGTCAGATTGAACCACGTCGCGTGAATTTCCCAGGGCAATCATCTAATCTGCGGCACATCGCTATATTTTATTCTAGAAGCACTCGTCTTTGAGGATAGCGTAACAATTACTCTTCAATCACAATCTTATACCCATTTCCTGCCTTTCTTTACAGAACTCGATCCAGGACTGCCCAGCGGTTGCAACCCTGAATCATCGATCCATCGCCGCGCGTGTGTGTAATCGATTCTCTAATGCTCGGCCCCAGTAGCAACAGCCACAAGCGATTACTACAATGACCGACAACAACAATTTCCACATGCCGCAGCACGTAATCAAACATGAGACGATCCAGTCATCGTCCGCGTCTCCACCGCACCATCATCAGCAACTGCAACAACAGCAGCAGCAGCAGCAGCCCCAATTCCAGGTGTACTATCACCACCAGGCGCACGGTCAGTCGCACCCGCCCAAGGCCGCTGCTGTGAAAATGGTCGAAACCGTACCGGCAGATCATTCGGTTTCCGTTGCCGGGCTTGACTACAGCACTCATCACCATCACCCGCAACAGATTATCGAGTACGATCCAGTCAGTGATCCGAACCATCCGGTAAGTGTGGTCATCGAGCATCAGCAAGTTGGGGACATTCAACCGACCATCGAGCAGCAGGAGCAGAGCGTGATAGAAGCGCTCTGCCAGCAAGCTCACCAGAATCGGTTGCACCAGGAACAACAGCAAATAGCCAAGGGCAAAAGGATGCGTATGGATAATGTACAACACGAGAACGGATCTGGCTATCCAAGCGAGGACGAGGATCACGAAGATCCTCGGCGAAAGGTCGTCCACCAGGGACCTGGTGGGGAATCGATCGAAGACCAAGAGCAAAGTATTATCGAAGCGCTCTATCAGCAGCAACAGCAAAACCAGCTTCGCAAACAACTCATCCAACATCAGCAGCAAGATAATCATCAGCTGTCATACCAGAGGCGCTCGCCAAGTCCGCCGTCCCGTTCGCTGTCCCCCTCCCAATCTCCGACCGTTTCGGGTACGACCGACTCGCTAAGTTCTCGCATCACACCCGCATCTCAACCACCACCTCAGCCGATCTCGTTGGCCAACATCAACCAGAGCAACTTTATCGCTCGGTTAATAAGCAAGGACAACATCTTGCTCATATCCGAGGACCTGATCGAAATTGGACGGAATTCGTCGCGGGCACAGGTGGACTTCCATGTTGGAAGGAACAGCTTCGTATCGCGAAAACATTTACTGCTGCACCATGATCACACCGACGGGGAGTTCTATTTATCCTGCTTGAGTAAAAATGGTGTCTTCATTGATAATATTTTCCACAGAAAAGGAGCAGAGCCGTTTTTGTTGCCCAGAGTGTAAGTGATTCGGTTGAAAGGAATGTACTTTTTTCATAAAACAACTATTTCTACCAACAGTTGCAGCATACGTTTCCCGAGTACAAACATCAAGATCCAGTTCGAGAATTTGTACCACAAAAATAACTCCGACGGGCCACGTGACCTGCTGGATACGAGCTGCGGGCCCTATCCCGCCAGTAGCAGTACCATGCAGGTCACCGGCAATGGTCCATCCAGCAACAGCGATATCCATCCTGCCTCTACGTCGACCCCCAGCAATACCAGCATGTACGCCCCGCTCAAGATCTCCATACCGCAGGAACCGCCCACTTCGTCATCGATGGAACACATTGATATGAGTGGCCGCAACCGGGACAACGGCAAGAGTCCGTACCCTTCGCCTACGGGAACGATTAGTGCTGCCAACAGTTGTCCCACGAGTCCCCGCCAAGGATATCACGATTTCTCCATCTACACAACTGGCCATCTCAGTTCCGTAGGCGGAGTACTCGGCCACGACATGAGCGGATCATCCGGGGTTCATCTGGCATCGAGCAGTAGTGGAAGCGCAACCGTCAGTCACAGCTTTAACGATTTCCAACCTCCGGCAACGTCGCAATCGCTTGAGAACGAAAAGCCACCGTACAGCTACGCCCAGCTGATTGTGCAATCGATTTCCGCCTCGCCGGAGAAGCAACTGACGCTGTCCGGAATATACTCGTTCATCTCAAAGAACTATCCGTACTATCGAAACGGAGCAAACAAGGGTTGGCAAAACTCAATCCGGCACAATCTAAGCTTGAACCGGTAATTTCGATCGTTTCTGAAACTTTTCCCGCTAATTGAAATGGTTTTTGCTCTCTCTCTTTCTCTCTCTCGCTTTCACACACACAGCTACTTCATAAAAGTGCCCCGATTGCAGGACGAACCGGGCAAGGGAAGCTTCTGGCGTATCGACCCAAACAGCGAACTGAAGCTGATAGACCAAAGCTACCGGAAGAGACGCCAGCGGGGTAGCCAGTGCTTCCGGACGCCGTACGGTATGCCGAAGTCGGCACCCGTTTCGCCGACAGCTATGGATCCGGAAAGCAGAGAAGGCTCGCCATTGCACGAAATGCTGCTCCAATCGGCGCCGGGTTCGCCGGGTCATGTGGCAGCCAATGCGTATGTTCACAGCAGCACCGGTACCAGTGTGGCAGGCCATCCCGGGCAGGAAGGTGAGATTTATTTTTCTATGTATGGCATGGCGAATTGACCGTATCCGTCGTGCTATGCCGCAATTGTTCTTTTCTAAATTATTGGATTACTACACTATCTACTACAATAAATGTTATTGCTAATGGTTACCTACCTATCATATACACATTCTAAATCAGACCTGCCCAACCTTTCTCTAAACTTGCTTTTTTTTTAAAGGCTGAATCTATTTTCGATGAACATGTTTAAAGCTACATTTTGATTATTTCTCATTCATTCTGGGTAAACATTCATAATGATGAATACATTAGGCTAGCATTATATCATTTCTGAGATGTAGAGACCACGTCCAGTCAGCTAAAAACAATTATGGGTCAGTCAGTCTAGCGTGTTAATCAAATGGAAGTGATCCATTATTGTGGGGTCAGTGTATTTTAGGTGCAATTGGATTAATATCCTACATTGATGAGCATTTTTTTCCAAGGATAAAAAAAAACATTCAATCAAGTGGCAAGTGGCACTAATTTACTCTCACAGCGGGGGGAAAGGGCGAGTCTACCTGCTTATTTTTTTTTTCTAAATATTAAATTGTCTACCCAAGTTTTTTTTTCAGTAGGTAACTTTATTTTCTTCACAACGGAGCTGGCTGAAAATCTCCTTAATAAAGTTAATCTAAGAATAAAATGCAACTCAAAGCAATCTAGCAACCATGGTAGCCGATATGCGCAACACTCATTGAACTTTTGCTTTGGTCGCTAGACTTTTGCTTCGTTCACGTTTCTTGTTATTCGAGTGAAATTATTCATTGTTGTTTTATTCTTCGGTGAATCGCTTTAGAGTTGGAGAACAATTTCAATCTAACGAAATCATTTTTCTTTGCGCTTGTTTTTAGAGATTATACCTGTAAATACCAGAAAAGATTAATGAAGCAGATAGCAATACTTCTCCAATCACCCCCAATAACAGTAACAAAAAATTTTGTTTGGCAGGTCTCGTGGTCGATTGGAATGACACTAACAGATAAATTGAAATTGCAATCGGAATATGGCGTCTCTTTCTATTAGAATTACTCAGAGGGAGAGATAGGAGGAGAAAATAAAATACAATTCGGCAGCAGAGATTTGTACCTAAATTATCTTGCAACCCTTGCTAGAAACTAAACTTTTGATCCGATTTACGTGCAAAATTAATAATTGAGAGCATCGCAATATTTTGCACATTTCTTGGTGCCATTAATTTATTAATCAAAAGAGTTAGAATATTCCAAAAACTAGTTGAACTCGAGACGAACACAAAACATAAAGGTTATTGAATGTCTGTTCGATTGCAATACTCTCAAATTTAATCTAGTAAGAATAAGAAATCCTCGGGAAAATTCATGGGAATGTTCATTTGGCTCAAAACATTCTCTCCGCCCATCTTTCCCTCTGAGTATTTCTACTTTCTATATTCTAGTCTCTTTAAACCTACCTAACCATGTTTTCACAATCGGGTGTACCCTAGGGTGTACCCCGTTTGGCATAATGCGCATTTGACATAAACGTGAAAAAAATCGAACAAAACTCTGGAGTGGTTTTTCAATAGGTCGTATGTAACAAATGTAAATAAATCAAGGTGTTAAAGCCACCAGACGCTACTCCGAATACACGAAGTACAGGCAAAACATGGGCCCGCTATCTTTTTCCTGTTTTATTATCTGACCAAAAAAAAAGTGTCGTATGTCACCAGTCGATCAAAACATTTCTCGATGTTACTTACGACTATGAAGGTGCTGTTGGCAAAAAGTCGTATAACAGGGTGTCGATTACCTGGACAATTAGCAGGGTGGCCAGCGAACAGGGAAATAACCGGGATTTTGAAAAGAAGCCGGGAAATTCGGGAAAAAGCCGGGAATGTCACATGAGAACCGGGAAAAATCAATAAACCTTTACATATTCCAACAAAACTTAAAACTTGAATAACAGCTTGAGCTTAATCAAGCAAATATATGTTTCTTCAGCTCAAACATGTTTTATTCAGCTTCTTAATATCTTAAACCTGTGAAATTATTTGACCTTTCGTAAAACTCTCCTCAGAATTCGGCAATACATTAAACTATTATCGTCAGGGGGTATTGGTATCTATTGGCCAAATTTAAGTGCTCTAGGACTTTGTTTACCCCCTGACGATAATAGGTTAAGGTATTGCCGAAGCCAACATTTCCCCTATTTAATTTAAATTATTCAGAATTTTTCTGTATTTACTTTAAGAATTTTCCTCTGATCTTGCTTAAAATTCTACTGTGAATCTTCCTCAGTATTCCTTTGAAATTATTATCAGACAACCATTTAAATTTTGTTTATATTTCTTTTTAAATTCTCCTTAAAATTCACCTGCTATTCTCCTCACAATCCGCATAAAATTCTCTTCAGAATCACCTAGGCATTCTCCTTGAAGTTCTCCCGACATTTCCCTTGTAATTCTTCTAAGAGTTCGTCAGGACCAGTGATGCTCGTCTACGCATCAACCGACTTTCGCTGACAGAACGTTTTGTCACGCAGTGAGAGGTAGAGCCATGGCAAGCAACAATCACCAGTAATGGTCGCTGCTCACAAGCAAAACGTTACACTCGCTGCTGATGATGAAAAGCACAACGAAAACAGTGAAGAATTCTACACTGCCGGTGGAAGCATAACTGTCCCATGTGACATTTTGACTTTTTTGGGATTATGATGCTTAACGGGATAAATCAATACACATTTTTAAAATATTATATTCAAACATGATGTTTCTTATAGAAAAATTAAAGAAAAATGTGAAGTCGTTTTGTCTCATTACAAAAAAATGGACGCATATCTGTCCCACTGCTCCAATTTGTAATACGTATAAGAAATTATTCAAAAATTACAGTCTGCTATCCAAATAATACATCGTAAACATATTACAAGCTCCAAACGATTGCCCAAATGGTAAAATTAATCTTTTAATTAATTGGATGATACCTCGATAACGTCGTAGGCACATTAACACTTTTTTAAGGAAAATTTGAACTATCATTTTCAGTTCTGTTACTATTTACAAACAAATAAATTAAAAAAATGTACTAATCAACTTGCAACACCTTACCCTATTTGTACCTTTTCGTGACACATATGATTATTTGGTATTGAAGAACTATGGAGATATATTTTAAAAACTAAAACAAATGCATACAACGGTTAAACTTAAATAACTATCATTCCGATGCATGTTGCTTGGTCGGAAGACCAACTAAAAATGATGTTTCGTCTTCCCCAATAACAGGTACGACAACTGCCAACAGAGAGGCTTATCTACTTCAATTCCACAAGGAGGCCTTTGCCAGAGTACGTTAGCTTCAGTAGAGAACGTATCCTTTTCGATCAGCTGGAGTTATTTCTTGGAAAACAGTTTGCAGTATTTAAGGTCCTCACTGTTGATGTTGCTTGCGTATCGTAGCTCATAACTTCCTTTTTGAAAAACCAATTTTCTCATGATGTCCACGATGGCTTGAATAAGTTCAACGTGTACTGTGAGACATTAAACTTGGCTTGGAACGACACGTTCGAGACGCATTTTTTTTTCAACCGCTGCGTGAAATGAATGAGCGGCTATAAAAGTATGGCCTGATTCAAAAAACTTGAACAGTATGATGATGATGTGTTGGAACAAATTCCAGTTCTTGTTTTGGGATGAGCAACTGTCCAACCAAAATGTAAGTTTGTTAAGGTGAGCATGCTTATTAATTACTCTGAAAAAAACAACTAAGAATGTCATTGGCAGTGCGACCACTGATCGACTCGGGCCTAATACATGCAGACACTGGAAATGATCGTGCGTATGCGCCAACAGGAGCAAATGTTTCGTAAAGACTAATAGCTATCACTATCACTGGAACCACTGTACTGCTTTAAATATTCTATGGCAGACGTTTCCGGCCCACATTTAAATCAGTGTCAACATTTCAAAGGGGCGTAATTGGTTTTGTAAAAAAATGGCTTTAGCCGTCGGTATCTCGCAAATAAATGCTCACCCCTCCAAATTAACAATGCTAGGTGGTAGATGAAACATTCCTTAGCCTGTGTCTCTGTGGTGTCATTAATTTTAATGAGTGAGCTTTTTTCCGCGAGAAATCGACGGCTATCCATTGTTTACAAACGCAATTACGCTTCTTTGAAATGTTGGCACTGAAATCAACAATTTTAAGAAAAAACTCCAACCGTCACCCACGAAGTGTCAAACATATTAACAGCAGCAACTGAGAAGTTGTTCACAGTGGGACAGATATGCGTACATTTTTCAACTCGTCAGATAAATTCGCGGCATAAGTGTCACAGAAGATTTTTTAATGGAAAAAAATATTTTTTTTTGCAAAATGTTGACAAACTTTCTATGGAATAGTTATATTACGTCAGTTTTTCGAAGTAGAATCAATTTTTTCCGTGAAATTTTTCGATAACAGCAAAACGTCTGTTCAAACTTTAACTGCAGTTTTCTCATTTTTGTGTTTTGAAACATGGGATGCTTCCACCGGCAGTACAGTACGATCATGAGAAAAAGCGAAACGATAGAAGAAAATGAAAATAATGCCTACGCATTCCAAGTTCGTCTCGGCAGGCGCGACTGTGTGAGTTACAATCAAAGCAGGCAACATTAAACGGACGCTGTTGGGCTCACTCATCAACACACTCACAATAGCAAGCAAAGCAGCAACTGCTTCAAAACGAGCACAGATGAGTGTTGTGATTGTCGGGAATGACCAGATCGGTGATGGATCACAACCGAAGACGACATTCACCAGTTGCTTTTTACTTCTTTCGTCAACTTGATGGATGGTCATGGAGAGAGCTTCGACGAGCACATTGATAGGAATGTACAAAGCGTTACTACCATCAGCTGTTTGACGATCGTGATTGTGATAGGTCGCAACTCTGGTCAGGACACAATCCTGGAATTAGTTTAGGATTCTTGTCAGAGCTCCGTTGAATTTTTCTTCTAGTTCTTCTCAGAATTTTTAATTTTT